CACGTTTGAATTGTTAATTGCGTGAAGTATTGAGACGAAAATATTTAGAAGGATATTTTTAGACATGTGACAGCTAAAAAAGACAATTTACCAAAAAAAGACCCAGGGGGACTACAGGACCTTTTTTCGGAAACATCCTCAGTTTAACATTCCGTCAGATGTGTACTGACGTAATTTACGCCTCGCACGTTATAAATAAAGTATACCTTGGAACGTTAAATTCTCTTCAAGATTCGTTGTAACTAGGAGAACTCGACTGGTAGAAGAATAAAAGAGATAGTAGAGAATTGTTGAAAAGGTCCGGGTTCGAGTCTCGACCGACCATACCAATCGGACGATTACATTCTGGTTACATAATGAAATCGTTGAGACGTCTTCGACAGTAATGACGAGACTGAAATTGGACACAGATATATTATGCTCTGACATTCTTATTTTTTAACACTAAAATTACCAAAATAATCAAAATAAGCAGTTCTTTAATACTTTTAATGTTTCATACATTTAAAATAAAAGTTTCCATTCTTTATCATAGATATCTTCTTATTTTTTTTGTACTTTTATTTGTCTGACAAATTTGACAACTTTATTAGAATAACTGTTATTGAGTTGCAATATACAAATTATTTTTAAAATTGGAAGAAAGTAGAAGCTAATCTTAAACAATTACACTTCCAAGTATTATATAAAATTACTAAAGGAATTATAATTTTGATGAAAATTGAATATTTCTATATAATAGAAATTGGTAACAGTTAAAACAGAATAATGTTATTGAGCAATCTTTGTTTATACAGATCCTTATCTTCGTGACAGCGATAGTGGGAGCACTCGCTGCACCCCAAGCTAATCCAAATGAAATCACAATAATAAAGCAGGAGGAGCAGGACAACATAGGTGTAGGTGGATATCACTTCAGTTACGAGCAGAGCGATGGCCAAAAGAGGGAAGAAACTGCGGAATTGAAAAATGAAGGAACTGACGACGAGTTTCTAGATGTTACCGGTAGCTTCTCTTTTATAGCTCCAGATGGTCATACTTATAGGTAAAAAAAAGCATCATAAATTAGTATATACTTCCATATACTTCCATATAGCATGAACAAATTATATAAAGTTACATTAAACTAAATTAGATATAATTGTACAAAGTTACTTGTCAATTACCATGTTAATATAGTGTTCATACAATAATACAATTTTTTGACAATTATTTGAGAATTATTTTTATTACTAAAATTATCAGAATAACACATTTACATTTCAACATTCTAATAAAATTTTTAATTTATAATTAAAATTTCATTTGCAAAATTCTCCATTTCCTATCTATGTGTTATATTATTTAACAATATTATAAATATGATTCAATAACGCTTATAACGTGTCCTGGATCCTCTTGCAAAATATTATAACAATCAACAATATTATCAAACTTAACAAGTTACAAAATACAGATTATAATCTATAAAATTTACTTATATTCATTTATTTTCAAACTTATTAACATTATATATACCAAGAATATTTACTATATTGATAACTTATAAAATTTCAATTTCAAATTCCACAAAATTCCACTAAATTGAATGTCGAGAATATATCTTTTTGCTCTAATAATTATTAGAGATATATCAAATGTATAATTATTTGATTAAAGGGTTGATTACAAGGCTGACAAGGATGGATTTCATCCCACCATCGCTCTCGTTTCGAAATAGTAAAATCTAAAAACTGAAGTTCCGCGCTATCCTTATCTAGGACTTTCCGACCATCGACAAATGTTAGTATAAGTGTATTAAAATATTATATACGTATTTTAAAATCGCGTGGCACGTGATTCACTGTTCAATAAGAGCGATCATTTTCAAAAATATTGATCGTGCAAAATAATCGATTTGTTTTGT